CAGGAAGACGGCCCTCAGCAGAAAGTGTGAATGGCACACAGCAGAAAGATGCTGGCATCTTGATCTTGAATTTCTGGTCTCCAGAAAATAAATTTCTCCTGGTTTTGTTTTTGTTTTTGTTTTTTTTGGCAGTACCCTTGACCTTAGTGTTGTCAGCGCCACGTTCTACTGAGTGAACAAACTGGCCAATTTCTGCTGTTTAAGCCACCCAGTGTGGTTCTTTGTCATGGCAGCCTGAGCTGCCTAATACAGAAGGTGACAAGGGACACTTCACCCTCCCAATGTTCAGGGCATGGCCCTAAGTGTTTCACGTGTATGAATTTGTTCTGTTGCATCTACCCTGTGAGGTATCCCCACTTTATCAAGACAAGTTGAAGACACAAGAGGTGACAGGATGGCAGGGGCTGCACAGGCAGGCGTTGATCACAGAGCGCTGGGATACAGGGTGGCTGAGGCCCATGTCCACGTCTCTGAGGAGGGCACATCTCTTTAGAGCCAAGACCTAAGGGACACAGAGGTGGGGACACAGACCGAGGTTGCAGGTGGGAAACAGTGTGGCTGTTGGAGGGTTAAGCCGGAGTGGGGTCATGTGTCAAGATTGTCTTTAAAAAGACCCCTCTGGCATGGATGATCCTGGTGGACATTATATGAAGTGAAATAAACCAGACAGAGAAAGACAAACACATGTGATCTCACCTATCCATGGAATCTAAAATAAAAGTGGAACCCACAGAGGCAAAGTAGACAGTGGTTACCGGGTGGGGGGCTAGGGAAAGGGGGACGCTGGTCAAAGGCACGGACTTCAGTTATAGGAGGAAGTTCTGGAGACCTACATGGTGACCGGAGTTAACAATACTGTGTTGTACCCTCGAGATGTGTTGAGAGAGTAGAGCTCGAGTGTTCTCAGCACAAACACAAAAAAATGGTAGCGTGGTGAGGGACGTGTCGTTAGTTGGCTTGATTGTGGCAATCGTTTCATGATGTACGTGCATATCAAAACATCATGTTGGACACCTTAAATATTTGTAACTCTTATTTGTCAATCGTGCCTCAATAAAGCTGGGAGGGAAGATATAAAGGAGCTCTCTGTGGAAACAACCAAGTGTCCACGAATGGATGAATAGATAAACAGAAAGTGGTGTATCCACATGATGGAATATTACACAGCCGTAAAAAGGAATACAGCTCTGACACACGCTGCACGGATAAACCTCGAAAACACAGTGCTGAGAGAGAAGCCAGACACAAAAAGCCACATGGTGTGTGATTCCATTTATATGAAATGTTCAGAATAGCTACATCCACAGAGACAGAAAGTAAAGTAGACGAGAGGTTACCAGGCACTGGTGTAGGAAGGGAGAGAGGAATTTATTACTTAATGGGTATAGAGTTCCTATTGGGGGTGATTAAAAGTTCTGGAACTAGATAGTGGTGGTGCTTACACAGCACTGAGAATGTAACTAATGCCACTGAATTGTGCGCTTGATTTTTTTATTATTTACTTCTCTTTGGCAGCTGGCCAGTAGCTGGGATCGAACCCTGGACCTTAGTGTTACCAATACCCCCCTCTAACCCACTAAGCTAACTGGCAGCCCCTGAATTGTACACTTAAAGATGGTTTAAATAGTTAAAGGCCCCTCTGGCTGCCAGGGGAGCCTGGACTTTAGGAGCAGAGGGGTCAGAGGGTAGTTGGGAAGTGGTCAAGGCCCAGGACCCGAGGGGCAGCTACCAAGCATGCGTGGATGGACTGACGCCGGGGTGTTCTGGAGGTACAGACCCAGGGCTTACTCCTGAGCTGGATGCAGGGGACAGGGAAAGAGGAGTCAAGGATTTTGACTCCTGGGGTTTTGGCCTGCGGACCTGGAAGAGTGGTGGGACTGTTGACTGGCATGGGGGGCTTTATTTTGGTTTGGTTGGGCTGAAGATGCCTTGGGGACCCAATGGAGGTGTAGACAGGGAGGAGAAAGGCAGGGCTGGAGAGGGAATGTGACTGGTGGCTGTCATGGTATGGTTGGCTTCTAAAGCCACGGGGCTGGATGAGGAATAGGCCTGGGGACTCCCCATAGTGTCTCAGAATTCCCCAGTGCAGGCTGCAAGGAGGAGATGTCACTCCCCCGTGCCCCGAGTGGACCTCGCCCTCTGATGGCCCACCATGCATGCGGACTGCTGTCCCTACCAGAACCCTGCAGATTGGTGGCCCTAGGGAACTGGGACCACCACCGGGAGATGAGGAGACCCACTCAAGGTCACACAGCATGTATGTGGCAGAGTCGGGATCCAGGCCCATGTGGGTCCTCTGCCCACTGACCCTGGCATCTGGTGGCCTCCCCACCAGTAACCGGTTTGTCTTCCTCCTGCCTCCGAGGCCTAGTGCAGCGGGAAAGAAATCTCTGGGAGAGGCGGGGAGGGGAGTGCCCGTCAGCCTGGGGTCTGTGCCTCCCCTGAACCTAACTGTGACTAGGAGGTGGGGTGGGGGAGATATGAGGGGTTTTTTTGTTTGTTTGTTTTTAAAAGATGAGCGGTAAGGGGATCTCAACCCTTGACTTGGTGTTGTCAGCACCACGCTCTCCCAAGTGAGCCAACCGGCCATCCCTCTATAGGGATCCGAACCCATGGCCTCGGTGTTATCAGCACCACACTCTCCTGAGTGAGCCACTGGCTGACCCAGAAATGAGGTTTTAAGAAGCAGCCTCTTTCCCTCCATGGGAAATGATCTGAAAGTGCCACAAGGCAGTGTCTGGTCAGGGCTGTGGGCTGGAGGCTGTTGAGGAGGGATTTCCTGGAGGCAGGGGTGGGGGGATTCCTGAAGGTGGGGGAAGTTTCCTGAAGACGATGGGGGGGCAGCTTCCTGAAGGGGGGGCAGTAGGGAGGAGTCTGGTGAGGGGGTATCCAGGGCTGCCCAGCAGATATATCCTTCCTGTTTCCCATGTAAAGAGACAGAGTCCAGGAGGGGGTGTCCTGCCCTGCGAGTGTGCCCCCCACCTTTATTAATTGAGGGCCTGTGCTGAGTCCCTGCTATCGGGGAGGCCCACGACAGACCTGCCACTGTGAAAAGGTAATTTCAGGTGCAGTTGAGCACTATGAATTAAATACAGGGCAAAGGATGGCTGGTGAGGACAGCAGGAGGGGGCTGTTTTGTTCGGGGGGGCGTAGGGGGTGGTCGCTCTACTGGGGTGACCTTGGAGTTGAGGCCTGAATGATAAGCCCCAGCCCGTGACGTGATGTGCATGTGGGGATCCTGGAAGAACATTCCAGGAAGAGGGATCAGCCCAGGCAAAGGCTCGGCGGCTGGTGTGGAGGCTGGAATGTTCCAGGAACAGGAGGGAGGAGGCAGCGGGGTTTGGAGAAGTTGGTGGCACCAGATCACCCACAGCCTGTAGGCCCTGGTGGGGGAACTGAGACCCCAGAGGAGAGCCGAGGGGAAGGATCAACGTCATTCAGTGATCCCTGAGCTCCAAGTGGAGGGCTGATTGGGGGGCGAGGAGGCCAGGATGAGGAAGCTGGGACAGTGTCCAGGTGTCAAGGGATGGTGGCCTGGTCCCGGGGGGTGGCAGTGGGGAGCCAGAAGGGGGGAGGTTGATGGGATATTTTGGAGACAGAGCCCACAGGACTTGCCGCTAGTGGAGCTTATGAGGGGAATGGCAGGGAGGGTGAGGAATCAAGGCAGATTCTTAGGTTTGGGATCTGAGTCATTCAACAAATACTTCATTGTTTTGTGCCAGGCCTGTTCTAAAAGCTGAGGATATGGCTGTGAACAAAACAGTCCAACAATCCCTGCCCCGTGAAGGGGATGTTTTGTACACCTGATAAATAGTTACAATTGGACGAAGGCCTGGAGGACCTGGCCACGTGGATAAGGGTGGACAGAAGCTACACACAGAGGCAGCCACAAGTGCTAAGGCTCTGGGGCAGGGCCTGTTGTGGTGGAGGAACAGCATGAGTGGCTGGAGCAGAAATGGAGTTGGAGCACTCACGGGGCTGACCACTGCACTGGATTCGGTTTTGGGCGAAAAGCATTATTTCCAGACTGGAAATAAGAGATTTGGAAAATATTGGCTCGACCATGGTACTGAGACTGTGGGACAGGCTGGGTGACAATGGGAGAGGACAGAGCTGGGAGTTCCCACCACAGAGGGCCCTCCACAGAGAATGTGTTTTTAGCAAGTCCCTGGTGAGGCTGATGTGGCTGAGCTGGGGCCACACCTGGAGAACTGGGGTGTAGACAAGGCAAAGAGCTGAGGGTAGAGATACCGGTGTACAGCCTTGAGAGTCTCCAGGGGAGACTGAGGCAGAGAGTGAGATGAGCAGGAGTGGCCATGAGAGAGGAAGAAACATGTCAGGATCGAGCTCTGTGCCTGAAGACGGAGCAGGCAGGGGTGGGGTGGGGAGGCTGGCAGGGGAGGGTACACAACATTGTCCCTCCCCCATCTCCCCTGGCCCTCCCAAAGGGCAGCACCCCCCCTTCCCATCCGCCTGCCTGTCTCCAGCTTGCCCCGAGGGTCCCCTGGAGGAGAAAGAGGGGACTCGGGCGTCCCTGGCCCCCGATCTGTGGCGCCAGCCAGCTGGATTCTAATTAGCTACAGAGCACAGGAGACAGGAAGCAGGGGGCTGGGGGTGGGGGCCTGGATCCCTGCCCAAGTCCGTTCCCCTCCTTCTTGCTGGGGAAGGATGCTAGGCAGGGGAGATGAACGGGGAGGGTCTGAGGCCTGCCTGGGTTCAGGTGGCCCCTTGGCAGCTGTGACCTCCTCCTGAGCTGCCCCCGTGATGTTCTTCAGGAGGTTTCAGTGGGGAGGAGATGGAAATCTCTTTGGGGTGCGGGCAGGGTGCAGGCTGTGCTGCAGGCCCTGGAGGGGGCACCTCCGGCCCAAGGGTGCAGCTTCTTTCAGGTGTGGCTGGCTCCAGGGAGGTGCTAGACATCGATCGGCCACCAGCAGCAGCAGCAGAAGAAAGGAGCGGCCCAGACGCCCCTGTGCCCACCTCACCCTCCCTGTCCTCCCCAGGCTGGTGGGCCAGGCCGTGGTGCCCGCGTGGTAATGCAGGGCGAGGCCCCTCGCACAGGCCACTGAGAGCCCCGGACACGCCCCCGGCTGCCGTCATGGCCCGCCTGGCCGCAGTGCTCTGGAGTCTGTGTGTCACCGCTGTCCTGGTCACCTCAGCCACCCAAGGTAGGTGCTGCTGGGGCCAGGGAGGCGCTGCATCTCCAAACCTGACCACTTGGTAAAGAACCACAGCCCCTTCCCCATCCTAGACCGTGGCTGGATGGGGCCGAAGGAAGACTTGGTGACTACACACTCCCAGCACCACCAAGGGGTCCCCAGACCATCTCCTCAGACCTGACAAGTGGGCCAGGTCAGGGCACCAGGGGCTGTCCCACTGTGGCCCCCTGGGATAGGACAGGCCTTCCTGGTGAGCCAATGCTCTTCTCTCTCTCTCTCTCTCTCTGATTACATCTCCAAGGCTCTCACTGGGAAGAAGGCTTAATTAAAGCATGCCCGCTGACGTTTATTTAAAAACAACTAATTACCCGGCTCGGCCCTATGCCGGCCCCGGGATCCTGCACACGCCACAATTAGTGCCCTGAGCGTGTCTGCCCACCCCCACCGATTACTCAGTTATGGTCCCCATGGCGGGCCCAGGCAGGGGCAAGGGCAGGAAGAGGAGAGAGGCAGAGGGAAGGTGCCCACTGGCCTCTCCCCTCGCCCTGGGGTGTGCCCCCTGCCTGCCCGCCAGCCCTGTCTGAAGGGCACTGATGGTGGGCCCTGCTCCCCAATGCCCCCCTCCCACCAGCCTTGTCCTTCGGGAAGCCATAAAGGTTGAGGGGACATTGTTTAGACGTGCCCCAGGGCCTTGGCACTGCCACAGCTGGCCAGCGGGCAGCCTCAGCTCCCCCAGCATCCGCCTGCATTCTCTGCCCATTCAGGTCCTGCCCCACAGCCCCAGCTGGGCCGGGAGGGGCTGCTTCCAACCCCAGCCCCATCTGAGCCAGTCCTCCACCCCCAACCCTCCCTCCCAGTCTGGGAAAGGCTAAAATTAGACAAGGAAGCAGATGGTGCAAGAGGAACACACGTAGAACTTTCCCCCAACTGGGACTCGACTCACCCCAGAAAACCCCAAGGGCCTAGCTGCCATGCCCCTGCGGTACCCAGCCGGCACTGGAGGGACCAGATCTCTGAAAAGGGGCCGGCTTGGCCCTGTTGCCATTGTGCACAAGTGACCTCATGCAACCACATACCACAGGCGGTCACTCCTGCATCTATAAGCGACAGTCCCCACATTGGAGCCTCTGGGCCACTCTCCGTGTCCCCACTTCCTTCCAGCACCCTGCAAAAATGCCTGGCTAGGGCCAGTGTCCGAGAATATGGGTGCCCCAGCCGTGGACTGTGCCAAGCCCCCTCTGTTATGCAGAGATTAACTGCCTTAATAATGCTCACGATAACAATAATTAGCATTCCTACTGTCCCACCAAGTGCTGCTGGCACACATGAACACTCTGGCTTCATCCCAGTGTCCCTATGAGATGGGAGTTGTTCTCACTGCTCCTGCGGGAAGAACCAAAGGCACAGAGATTGTCAGTGACATGGACGAGCCCACTGGCCAGGGAGTGGCCAAGCTGGGATTTCAATCCTGGCCATCTGGCTCCTGAGTCAGAGCTCTCAGTCCCGGCGTAACACAGGGTGATGACTAACATGGGACAATTCTACCCCACCAAGACCTGGGCCTGCCCAGGACATGTTTTGTCATTGTCACAGCAATCCCGGGAGGTTTCCCAAATAATAAGCAGGAGGCACCTCGCTGAAGTGTCCTCCCTGTACACTCAGCACTTCCTCAAAGAGCATTCTCTAGGCTGTGGGATTAAGTCACACTTTTAGTGCATGAGTTAGCTGGGGCTGCTGTCACAAAGCACCACGGACTATGCAGCTTAAATAACACAAATGTATTTTCTCCTGTTTCTGGAGGATACAAGTTAGAGGTCAAGGTGTGAGCAGGGTTGGCTCCTTCTGAGGCCTCCCTTCTTGGCTTGTAGATGGTGTCCTCTGTGTCTTTACATCACCTTTTCTCTGTGCCTTTTTCTGTGTCCAAATTCCCCCTTTTTTATATGGACACCAGTCATGTTGGATTAGGGCCCACCCTAATGACTTTTTTACCTTGATTACCTCTCTAAAGACCCCATCTACAAGTAAGGTCACATTCTCAAGTACTGGGGTTAGAACTTCAGTATATGGGGCCGACTCCGTGGCTCACTCGGGAAAGTGCAGCACTGGGAGCGCCGAGGCCGCAGGTTCGGATCCTATATAGGGATGGCCAGTGCGCTCACTAAGAACTTCAGTATATGAATTTGGGGGGACACAGTTTAACCCATAAGAGCATGTCCCAAGACCCCCAGGAAAACAGACACTCTTATCAGACAAGACATTCCAGGGACACTTAGAAGACACTTCCCAGAGGCTGAGGGCAAAGGGCAGATGCCAGGTTAACATCCTTACTGTACAGGTAGGCACACTGAGAAGCCCATTTTACAGCTGAATAAACTGAGGTTCACATAGCTGGCTTCTCAGACACAGCTGAGCTGGAGGTGGTGCCTCCTGTCAGCCAGCAGGGTCTTCCCTTCCTGGCCCCAGGCCTGGAGTGTGACGCCGCCCCCCCCCCACCTCCCTGCAGGCCTGAGCCGGGCTGGGCTCCCATTCGGGCTGATGCGCCGGGAGCTGGCATGCGAAGGCTACCCCATCGAGCTGCGGTGCCCAGGCAGTGACGTCATCATGGTGGAGAATGCCAACTACGGGCGCACAGATGACAAGATCTGCGATGCCGACCCTTTCCAGATGGAAAATGTGCAGTGCTACCTGCCAGATGCCTTCAAGATCATGTCGCAGAGGTGAGTGGGCTCCCAGGGCAAGTTCCTGAATAAAATGCCCATCCTCCACGTGTCCCCTGGCCAGCGCACCCCGTTCACCTTTAGTCTTCCTTCTTTTTTATTTTTTTCTTTTTGGGGTTTTTTTTGGCTGCTGGCTGGTAGGGGGATCTGAACCCTTGACCTTGGTGGTATAACACTGCGCTGTAACCAACTGAGCTAACTGGCCAGCATCTAGGCTTCCTTTCATGTATTCCATACGTTTTTCCTGAGCACCTACTAGGTGCTGGGCCCCATGTAACCAGCAAATAAGATGGAGCCCATCTCTGCCCTCACTCCCACCAGCCTGTGTCCCCTTCACCAGTCTGTACCCCCACCCTGTCCTGTACCCCAAAATGCACTGGCCCATACCTCCCCACCACCGGCCCATCACCTCTAGAAGTTCATTCCAGAATTAGCTGAGGCAAGGTGTCGGTGACGGGCCATAATAATCATATACAGTGTATATTGACAAAATAAAAAAAAAATTCCATACGTTTTTCCTGAGCACCTACTAGGTGCTGGGCCCCATGTAACCAGCAAATAAGATGGAGCCCATCTCTGCCCTCACTCCCACCAGCCTGTGTCCCCTTCACCAGTCTGTACCCCCACCCTGTCCTGTACCCCAAAATGCACTGGCCCATCCCTCCCCACCACCGGCCCATCACCTCTAGAAGTTCATTCCAGAATTAGCTGAGGCAGATAGGGGCTTGCCAAGCAAAAACGGGCAGGACGGGCTGGCCCGGTGGCGCACTGCTATAGTGCTCCACTTGGGAGCGTGGTGGCGCTCCCGCCGGTTCGGATCCCACATGCAGACCAGTTCCCGCTCACTGGCTGAGCGAGGCGCGAGAGCAACACCGGGGGTTGCGATCCCATTGCCGGTCCCGGTCCGGTACGGGGGCGACACTGAGGGTTGCGATCCGTTGCTGGACACGGAAAAAGACAAAAAGGAAAAAAAAAAAAAAACAGGCAGGACAGGGATAAGGTGTTATAGGAGCAGAAGGAGAGGTTATCCCAGACATGAGATGTCCTCAGCCTTCCCCAAGGCGGAGACATCTAAACACGTGACAGAAGTGTATGTTATGTGCGTGTAAACGTTAGTGAGGGTGGGCAAGTGCTTGAGTGTGTAAGGCTGCATCTTTGAGCGTGTCTGTGCATTTGTGTGTTTGAGTGTGCATCTGAGAGTGACTGTGTTTGGATGTGTGTTTGTGTATGCGTGAGTGTGTGTGCACGTTTGAGCGTGTGACCGTGCGTGTGAGTGTGTGTGTTTGCGGGTGGATGTGTTTGACTGTGAGTGTGTGTGTCTGTGAGCAGGTGCGTGTGTGTGTGTGTGTGTGAATGTGTTTGTGTGTGGCTATACATGTATGTCTTTGAGCGTGTTTGTGACTGTCCGAATGTGTTTAAGTATGTGTCTGTGAACAAGCATGTGGGTGTGGATGAGTGCTTGTGACTGACTGTAAGTGTATTTCTTCGTGTGGGGGTGGGTATCCTAGGGTGAGGCACTGTGAGTGCAAAACTGCATGAGCCTCTCCCACACCCACAGCCAGTCCACCTAGAGTCGATTAGCTTTTCCTTCAAATCATACCCAGAATCTGACCACTGCTTCTGCCACCAACTCTCCCCTGGGTTGTGGGAGGCACCTTCTGCCTGCTCTCCTTGCCTCCCCTCTTGCCTGCTACAGTCTATTCTCCCCACGGTGGCCAGCAGGCACCTGTGAATACCTGAGTCAGGTCCCATCCCTCCTCTGCTCAGAACGCTCCATGGCTCCCACTTCCCTTGGAGAAAACCCAAAGTCCTTAAAGTTTTTCCTGCGGCCACAAGGCCATGCAGCCCTGCCCTGTCTTCTGGCTCTCGCCTCCTCCACACTTTAACCCTAACCCCACTCACTCAGCTCCAGCCACACCAGCCTGCTCCTTGCACACATCAGGCAACTTCCTGCTCAGTGCTTCCTCTGGGCCTTTGCACCAGCTGCTCCCCCTGCCTGGAATGCTGTTCCTGGACATCCGCAAGCCTCCTCTCTCCCCTTACTCGTGGCTTTTTCTAACTATCCTCTCAGCTAGCTCCTCCTGAACACTCTCTCTAAAACTGCAGGCCCCCCCTCCCATTACCTGTCCCCCTTCCCTGCATCTCTCTCCTTGCCTTGCCTTCCATCCACACTTCCATCTGATATTTTGCATCTTTATCGTTTTTATTTTATGTCTTTCTTCACTGGGCTGTCAGCCCCCTAGGGATGAGCAGTTCTGTCCATCACTGCTAGATCCATGGTCAGGTATACAGCAGGCGCTCGCTGAATGTGTTCAAATGCCTGAGAGGGTGCACTCAGAGCATAGAATGGGGAAAAGGGAAAGAGGGCTGGGGCCAGCTCAGAATGTGTTACTGGGGGAAGGGGATCATCGAGAGCCTCAGGAGAATTTCGGGCAGGGGACAGATGTGGTCAAGTGGCTGAGACAGGTGGGCTGTACTGGAGCTGCCTCATCCCCTCCTTCCCACCATTTCTCTCTCAAATTTCCATTCCCTCCAACAATCTTGCCCTTCTTCTCCCCTTCCTGTCTCCTGACACCCCTGCGTGGGCATCCCAGTCCAGCGTCCCAGCCTTTGCTTAGACTGTGCCCTGCTCCTCCTTCAAATCCTGTTCCTCCCACCTCCTGCCTCTTCAAATTCTCCCTGTGGCTTCATTCAGCACTGGCTTTGGGGTCTGTGTTGTTCTCCAGGGTCTCCGCAGCACCTAGTACAGCATCTGGCCCATTTCCAGTGCCCAAGGGGAACTCAGAGCAGTGCACTTACCAGGTCCTGGGGGCATGATGGGGCCTCTGGAGCCACATCTGGAATCACAAAGGGGGCTTCAGCCCCGCTTTCTCTCTCCGAGCCCCAACCTGGCTCTTGTATTAGTTAGGGTTACAGCTAAGCTGCTCTGACAGGGACATCCTGGAATAAATACATCAACCTTAACCAAGTGAGCACGTGCTGCACTGTCGCAGTGCCTCTGGGAGCATAGCCCTTTAAAGGCACATGGCATGCCCACTCTTGCCTCATTGGCCAAAATTTGATCATGTGTACTTCTGGCTGCAAGGGAGGCTGGGGTATGCAGTCACCAGCTAGAAGAAAATTTGGATTTTCTTTCTTTCCTTTTTTTTTGGCCTTTTTATTGAGGTGACATAAAATTAAATATTTTAGTAATTTACTTATTTGTATGCAGTCACCAGCTAGAAGAAAATTTGGATTTTCTTTCTTTCCTTTTTTTTTTGGCCTTTTTATTGAGGTGACATAAAATTAAATATTTTAGTAATTTACTTATTTAAATGGACAGGATAGTGTGGTTTCCTTTTTTTTGTGCACTAAAATTAACAGTTTTAAAGTGAACATATTTAGTGGCATTTAGCACATTCACAACGTTGTGCAACCACCACCTCTACCTAGTTCCAGAACATTTCATTGCCCCAAAAGGAGGCCCTGTACCCATTAGCAGTTGCTCCCATTCTCATTCCCCAGGCCCCTGACAACCACTAATCTGCTGTCTGTGGGTTTACCTGTTCTAAACATTTCATATAAGTGGAATCACACACTGTGTGGCCTTTCGTGTCTGGCTTCTTTGACTCAGCATCACATTTTCAAGGTTCATCCACGTTGTCAGTGCTTCATTCCTATTTATGGCTGAATAATATTCTATTGCATGGATATGCCACATTTTGTTTATCTATTCCTCTTTTGGTGGACATTTGGGTTGTCTCCACCTTTCAGCAACTGTGAATAGTGCTGCCATGAACATTCATGTACAAGGATTTGCTTGAACACCTGCTTTCAATTCTTTGGGGTATATACCTAGGAGTGGAATTGCTGGGTCATATGGTAACCCTCTGTTTAATCTTTTGGGGGTAGTGTTCCTTTTTTTCTTTTTTTTTGGTGACTGGCCAGTATGGCGATCCATACTCTCAACCTTGGTGTTATAACACCATGCTGTAACCAACTGAGCTAACCAGCCAGCCCTGGTGTTCCATTTTTAAAGAAAGGGGTGGGAGTGGGTGGATATGGACAGATCTCCCCTGCCCCTTTCCTCCCCTGCATCTTTATCTCTCTATCCCTGCTAGATCCTTTGCCCTTTGTCAAGTTTCTGCCTCAGTGTTTATTTATTTATTTTTTTTTTAATTTATTTTTCCTTTTTGTCTTTTTTTGTGGCCGGCAACGGATCGCAACCCTCAGTGTCGCGCCCGCTTTCCTCCCCTGCATCTTTATCTCTCTATCCCTGCTAGATCCTTTGCCCTTTGTCAAGTTTCTGCCTCAGTGTTTATTTATTTATTTTTTTTTTTAATTTATTTTTCCTTTTTGTCTTTTTTTGTGGCCGGCAACGGATCACAACCCTCAGTGTCGCGCCCGTACCGGACCGGGACCGGCAACGGGATCGCAACCCTCGGCGTTGCCCCCGCACCTCGCTCAGCCAGTGAGCGGGAACCGGTCTGTATGTGGGATCCGAACCCTCGGCGGGAGCGCCACTGCGCTTCCCAAGCGGCGCACTATCACAGTGCGCCACCGGGCCGGCCCGTGCCTCAGTGTTTAGATTCACTGGTTAAGGGCAGGACTGAAGAGGAGATCCAGGGGCCCCCTCTCCCCATACCTGTTGGGAAGCCTCTGAAACTACTTATTTGGGAAGTGGCCGGCCAGTACAGGAATCTGAGTCAAACTTCTGTGTCCTGCCTGGCTTAGACCTACCTACCCTGCTTCAAGGAACTGGGACCCTTAATGTGGGGATAGACAGACAGATAGCAGATGAGAAACATCTTTTTGTTGTGAAATAGGCCCCCCTGTCTATGCTTGCCAGAGCCCTGAGAAGTTGACAGGAACTCAGGGGAGTTCCCTGTGGATACTGAGAATGGCTTTTATATGAAGACTTTCCTGGCCACTCTGGCTGCAGAGCCTCATAACACCAAACAAAGGGTTGGACATGTCCTCAAGATCGTTTGAGGTAGACACAGCCAGACATGGTGAGCATTTCATTGATAGTATACTTGCAAAGATACCACCTCACAAGTGTGGCTGCACATGTATTAATCTTCAGCAAACAATGCAGGGGCTTTGAAGTGAATTTAAAGAAAAACACCGAGGATGTAAAAGTACTGATGACACTTACATAGGATGAAGGGGAGGAGGGGTGGCTAGGAAGGCACTGTTTATGGGGTGTCTCCTCCATCCAGCCCAGAGTGTGATGCTGTGTCTGGGCTGAAAGTAGAAGGATCCTGTCTGGTGGGAAAGAGAGAACATGCAGGAAACAGAAAACAACGCCCATGCAAGGCCCCTGGGCTTGGTCTCCAGCTCCATGGCACCATCCCAATTTGGGGGTGTCTATTCCTCTCCTGACCCTGGAAGCCCCTGGGGTCCAGGTCTGCCTTTCTTAGCACACTGTCTCTTTTCCGCAGGTGCAACAACCGCACTCAGTGTGTGGTGGTCGCCGGCTCTGATGCCTTTCCCGACCCTTGTCCTGGGACCTACAAGTACCTGGAGGTGCAGTACGACTGTGTCCCCTACAGTGAGTCATCTTGTTCCTTGTGCAGACACAGGCCCTTCCCCCCATGGAGCAATCGAGGAGGAGATACCTTGACCCACCACAAATATGCACATGTACATGGGTGCTGGACACAGTGGGACAGCTGGGCCTGCTCCTCACCTCAGAGACTCTGTCCCCTTCCATGGGGGCACCTTCTCCAACTCATTACCCTGGCCCACTCTCCCTGCTTCTTCACGCGTACCCTGGCTCATGTACACACTTCAAGGCCACGCTCCCGTGCTGTGCTTGGCACATTTACGCCTCTCCTCTCCCTTGACCTCACTGCCCTTCTGATCCCTCTGCCTCCTGTTCTCACAGCCCTTCCCTTCCTGACCCTCCTTACACACCTGCTCTTCCCTCTCACTCATCGACCTGCCTCTCTCAACTCACCCTCCTTTCTCTTGTCACCTCACTCGCCATGCTCCCCCACCTCTGCCCCTTCCCAGTCATGGAGGCTGGACTCTATACCTGTAGAGAGGCAGACCACCCTCTGAGGCCTGGTGGCGGATCCAGTGTGAAGGGCTGGGGGCATCTTCAACAGATTAATATCTCCTGCTTGGTATACCCATTATGATGATAGCACTTCCTGTCTGCAAAGGAAGTGCCACCATGTTGGACTGAAAGAGGCCCCCAGGAAGCCTGAGGATGGTGATCTGGGGAGCCAGAAGCCTAGCTGTCTTGCATCTGGTCAAGGGGAGCAGACAAAGACAGGGTCTCTCCTCCTCAGCACCCCACCCTTAACATTGCTCTTCTTTCCTGCCCTCTTTCTTCCCTCCCTCCTCCCATCTTTCCTTCCCCTTCGTCCCCCACCGGGTTTCATGTAACCAACCTGGAGATAGGGCCTCCTGGCAGAGGGGGGAGGAAGCAGGACCACCAGGGTATCTGAGTGTGGGGGGCAGAGGCAGGGGAGCAGGAGACCCTGTAACTCTCCCTCCTCTCCCCTCCCACCCCAGCCTTCCTCCCAGCCTCTGATTTCTCCTCACAGGTGACTCTACGACGCCGAGGGAAACACGATTGCTTATGTGCTTCCGTAACTTTCTTCTTTTACTCCTTGCCCTTTCCTTTCAGCGCCTGAGGCCTTCAGCCACCACCCAAGGGGAACAGCTATCTGCTCCTTGAAGCCTCCCCACAGCACTGGGGACACTGCCCACCCCCGCAGCTGGGGCGGCAGGGAAGGAGGGTGGGGGGCAGTGAGCGTAGCACAGAGGGAAAGTCAGGAGGGCCGAGGTTCAAGGCTCGACTTGGCTCTGGGATTTTCTAGCTCTGAAACCTTGAGCAAGTGACTTAATTTTCCTGGGACACTGTACAAGGAGGCATGAGTCCGCGAGATCATGTGTGAGAATCACTTGGCCCAGGGCCAGCCATAGAGTCTTCTGGTGGCAGAGTTTTGAGTGCTGAGTGTAAATCCCTGAGGGCAGAGGTGGCTGCTTCACCCCCACAGTGCCCAGACCCATGCCTGGTTTAGGATGTGCTCAGTAATGGTAGGGATTCTCTTTCCAGCCAGCTGGGCCTGTTAATTCATCTGTGATGGCAGTGGGGTGGGGGGGGCACTTTTCTGAGATGCTGCAAGGATTTGAGACAGTGGTACAGCTTATGTGCACCCCAAGCCATAGATGCAAGGAAATGTCCTGCTCTGCCAGCTGTGTGGCTTCATTTTACCGAGCCGCAGTTTCTCCATCTATAAACAGAGGTCTCAAAAGACTGCCTATATGGTGCATGGCACTTCATAAGCACTGGACACTTGGTAGTCATTACTTTTATTGTGACTACTCCTAATGTTGCTTACCAATCATTATTACTGCCATGGCAATCAAAATAAAAATACTATGACAAACCCACCTCCTCCGCAGGCAGGCAAGATAGAGGGCAGGAAAAACACCCTTGTCCACGTGAAGTCCAAAGCAAGTAGACACCACTCAGAAGCAGAAAAAAAGCTAGAGGACCTGGGGAGGAGAGGAGCTTAGAGACCTCCTGGAGCCGAGTCCCTGAGTGTGGTCCAGGGGACACAACCTACAGAGACCAGGAGGGCACCAGGGACAGAGGGCAGGACAGCCCAGGGGATTGGCAGCCCCCAGTCTGATGGGAGAGAGCTAGCTTGAGCTCTTGGGGAGACAGCACAGACGGACAGACAGACAGATGCACACACAGCAGGCAGAGCTGGGGGCTGAGCTATCTCCTGGTCTTCCAGAGGAAGGGGGCGATGGAAGCTTGGTAAGAGGACAGGGAAGGTGGACAGTCACTTGTCCCCCAAATGTTCACTGAGCACCTCCTGAATGCCAGGCCCTGGGTGAGGTGCTGAGTAGGGAACCAAAGGTCATCCCTGCAGAACTCCTCACTTGGGCCTTCAGAGGGCTGGAGGTTCCTGAGGGGCAAGGGATGCAGAACCTGGAGAGGTGTGGCCTGGGCAGCCACCTGGCCCTGGGCTTCAGAGGCTGGGGTGACCCCAGTGCTGGTGAGGGTGGGTCAGGGCTGGGTGGTAGGGGCTGTCGTGGGGAGGGGGCACTGGATGTGTGGGAACTCTCCCCACACCGGACAAGCCCGACTAACAGTGGATTTGCTTTGCAGCTGAGCACAGTCTAACCGTGCCCCTTCCTCCCCCAGGTGCCGCCCGCCCACCAGGCAGCGGGCAGGCGCGGAGCTCCCGGCTCCTGGGCCCTGGGTGGGCTGGGCAGAGAAGCTAAGCCTCAGGCTTACTCCAGCCCTGGGGAACGTGGGAGCGTGTCTGTGCCCCCACCCGCTGTTCCACCCAGTCTGTGTGCCCTGCCCCCACTGCCCCTCTGCCTGTCTCCCCAGCGCTGGCTCTCGGAGGAGGCCGGGGCGCATCTGCCTGTCTGCCTCTCTGTTGTCAGTGTCTGGCTCTGCCACCCCCTCTCTATGTTTGCTTTTTCTGGGTTGCAAGGGCTTGGGGGAACTCAGCTGGACTTGGGCGAGGCCAGCACAAAGGGAAGGCATTCAGTCTGTTCTCTCGGCTGGGAGGGGGGCCCAGGCCCCGGGAGACACTGAACCCTTTCCCTCCAGGCCTCTGGTTCTAGCAGGAGGGCAACAGGCAGTGAAGGAGGGGAGCCCAGTGGTTCCTCCACCCGCCACTCCCTGGTGCCCCCCCAACCAGACCCCACCTCCCAGCTGGGGCTCCCCCTCCCTGCCCCCTCTGCACCATGGGTGCCCCCTCCCACCTGAGGGCTCTGTCCACCTGCCTGCCTACACCCCCCACACCTGGTGTCTCTCTCTGTCTCTCCCTCCCGTGTGTCCCCCTCTGACTGTCTCCCTGGCACCCTCTCGCCCCACCCTACCCCAGAGGAAGGGACTTGGGGGCGGGGGCTGAGCTGATGCTACGGAAAGGGGTTGGGAAAGCAGGAGCGAGGAAGGAGAGGAAGAGGGGGCGTGTGGCCAGAGAAGAAACGAAAGCAATTTAATCTCTTTTTTTTTCTCTTTTTTTCTTGCACATTTTTTTTTTCAATTTGTTTTCTCTCTCTCTTCCGATGCTTAAAGTAGAAGTGGAGCAGAAAGGTAAACGCACTGTTACCAATGCTAACCCCTAACTCACACTTTGTTCTACCTGTACCATACTTATGTGACCCCCTCCCCTCCTGGCCCTTCTTCTCCCCCCACCCCCACTTGGTCCAGTCAATATCCCCCACCCCGGGGTGTCCTCCCGCGGTGGGGGGCAGTCCTGGTGTGGCTGGACATCTCCACCCTCCAGATACCCTCGGAAGCTCCCCTTTGAGCTCGGGCAGGATTTTCTCTCTCTCTGCCTTTCTCTCTCTCTCTCTCTCTCTCTCTCTCTCTCTATCTCTATCTCTATCTCTCTCTCTCTGCCTCCTCTCTTTTTCTCTCTCCCTGTCCCTCCGTCCTGGTCCCTGGCCCTTGCGGGGGACCTGGCCTTCTCTCATACTTCTTTTGCCTCCTTCAGGAGACGTGTTAAGCATCCATGGCGGGTGGGGAGGGAGGGACTCCCTTCCCCGGCCCCCACCAGGGGCACTGGGTGAGCTGTCTCTCTCTCTCCTGTCTTCCTCCCCCCCCTGCACATTTTGTAACATGTTTCTGGTTCAGAGGAGGCGGGATGGAGGGGACACTTTTGTTTTCCTTTTGGGGAGCAGATTCCTCCTATCTCTTGGGCTCCTGGTGGCTTAAGTTCCTTCTGGTTTGGCGTTTCCAAGGCCCAGAGCTGTTTTGGAGCATGGAGCACCGGTCCCCCTCACCCCCAACCCAATCCCCATCCTTGACCAGCTGGGGCCCCAGCCCTGGGGAGGGGTGTCAGTTGTCCCCAGCCCTGGGAGGGCTCAGCCTGCCAAAACTGGGGGCGAGGGGGCGGGGGCGGGCCTCCTGGTGGGGGGAGCGTGGGGTGGGGGAGCGTTTTCTTTGGTTCTTTCACACTTGCAAAGCTGCAGTCAGGGTTTCTTCTGGGCTGTTGTGGCTAGAGGACCAGGGAGAGGGGCGGGGCACGGGGAGTCCTAGACCTGGTCTGGGGACTTCCACAAGCACCGTAATTTCTTGCACAGAACTCCAGTGGTGGGCGGGGCTGTCCATTAATGGGGGAGCGCAGCAGCTGAAGGGCTTCAAGTGGGGGGGGGTGGAGATGGTCATTTCCTCCCAGAAAGTTTTGGGAAATGGACAGATTTGAGGCAGGCAGCAGGGGTGGGGACTGGGTGAGATGGCCTTTTAGGATCCCTTTGGCCTTGAAATTACGGTGGCCTGTGGAGCATCCCCTGAGAGGGAGGTGGGGCGGGGTCCCTCTGAGCTGCTCCCCTCCCCATCCCACCCCTGTCCCCCATCTCAGAGAGGCCTGGGCTGCCAGCCAAGGTCCCGCCCCTCACCGCACCCCACCATTATCCCTCTCTCCTGAAGTTGCTCTCCCCCCCGCCCCAGCCACTCTTCTTGCAGGCCCGGTGGTTTGGATACAGAAGCACTGGATCTTTTTCTCTTCAAGGGGAGGGAAAGGGTGGGGTGGGAGAGGGGAGGGAAGAGGAGATGTAGAGAATTTGGTGCTGGGGAGGGGTCCTTGCACTCTGAGGCCCCAGGCAGACCCTTCCTCATCTTCTCCCCCTTCCCCCAGGGTGATCTCTACACGTTTTTCCTCCCCGGACACTGACCAGGTCAGGCTTAGGCCTACCACCTCCCCCCACCCCCCTTCACACACACAGACATACCTGGCAGGGGGGCCCGGCTTGGGCAGAGGGGAGACCTGGGGAACAGAGGAAAAGGGCAGAGGCCAGGTGTATTGGAGAGAGGGTAGAGGCCTACCTTTTGGGGCCACGGGGACAGGGAATGGCCTGGTCCCCTGGCCCAAGCCAGGATCATTCTGGCTGCTGCTCACCTCTGTGTACCAAGATCCCCCAGCCAAAAAAACCCAAAAAAACAGGACATGCTCCTGGCAGCTTTGTGCCTGGGGACCCTTCCTTGAGCCAAGCTGTCCCTGATGCTGTGAAGGGAGGGCTGCATACCCTCCCAAGCTGGCTGGAGTGAGGCTGACAATGGGAAACGAGGATGGAGTGCCTCCTGCCCAAGCCCCTCTTGCCACTGGGACCGCCCCCCAAGCCAATACCAGGTCCCAGCCCTCCCTGTCCCCCTCGGGCCCAGCTGCTTTAGTGACAGGCCAAGCAGGAGCAGAGAATTCACTGCAAACTCCCCCACCCCACACTGCAGCCCTGGACCCCACCTGTCTGTGGGTTCTATTAGCGGGGAGGTGAGAGGGAGGCCCAGCCATCCTGGATGGAGGGGCATCTGGACCACAGCACTCTGGGGTGGGGGAGTGGCCCCACAGACCCCACTGGATCAGTAAGGGAGGCTAGGAGCAGGTGGTACTGGGACGTGATGGGGCAAGGGTGGGCAGGCCAGCAGCGGCCAACGAGATGCAGTTGAGGTTTTCCTCCTTTTCAGGGAATGGGGGGGTGGGGCGGGGACCCCCACCTTTCTGACATCAGCGCTGCCTTGGTCCCTCCTCCCGAGCCGGGGATGGTCACAGGTAAATCGGGGTCCGGGGCAGGGGAGGTGGGGGGGCCTGGCTGGGGCGGGCTGGGTCTTTATCCTAGCACCTGGTTCCCTCCCTTGCCCCCTCCAAGCTGGACCTGGGACTGCCCCCCCGGAAGGGACCCTCAGTCGGGCCTGGGCCTTGGAGTGAATTCTCTGCTCACCCCCTCTCTCCTCCACCAGCAACTAACCCTTTCTTCCCAGGTGGTCTCCAGCGCACCTCCCTCGGAGCCAGGACCTTGCTGAGCCCCCCACCCCCCTTGTCTCTCTTACCTCCGCACAGCTCCGCTGAGCCCCCCACCCCCCTTGTCTCTCTTACCTCCGCACAGCTCTCCTTTCCCCTCCCCAACTCTCCTGGGAGTCCTGTCCCTCTCCGTGTCCCCACCCCCTCACCCCCTGTGCACCAGTGTCAGTGTCTGCTGCTGAGCCATACCCCCTAAGAGACCCTGCTGGCTGGGGCAGGGCTGGGCACCCGGGGAGGGGCTGGACTCTTCCATTGCCCGTCCTAGCCTGGGAGCTGCTTCCAGGAATCCCTTCAGCTACTGACTTCATGGGTATGGGGTGGGGGGGCACAGCTACATCAGGAAACTTGGGAGAGAGTTGACACCCCTATGCTTCCCCCACCTTGGAATAGGGGGGCACTTCTGACACCCACCGTGGGTCCGGAAACATCACTCTACCTTGCAATTTTTGCAGGAGGAAGAAAGTGGAGTTAAATATATATATATATCTCTGTCCTGGTGTGGTTGGTGAAGGATGAGACCCTGGACCCTAGTTCTTACATAGCGGTGGAGAGAAGGGGGAAGGGGCCGGGTGCTGAGTCCTAGAATGTCAAAGCTAGGAGTCACTGCAGCAGGGAGAATCTTCCCACTACCACTGAAATCACAAGAGAACATCTCTGGGAGGGCTCTTGCCAAACCCCTTATCCCCAGCCTGTGGGGTCTCTAGCAGCCAGGGAAGGGAGAGAGGGGCACCATCTTCCCCCTCCCCTCAACTAACCCTGCTCTTAATGGCCTCCAGGGTTGACAGCTCCAGGGAGAGGGGCAGCTGGGCGGGGCGGGAGTCCCAGCCCAGAAACCCCTTCCCATCACCAGCCCTACCAAGCAACCGTGACTGCAGCAGCAGGAGGGGACAACCTGGCTCCCCCCCCGCCGAGTGACCAACTCGCCTCTCTCTCCCCTCTCTCCCCCTCCCTCGCCTGTGCTCCTCCTTTCCCATCTCCTCCCTGCCCATCCACCTGCCTGGCCCAGTCTTCGTGTGCCCAGGGACTCTGCAGAAGGTGCTGGAGCCCACCTCCACACACGAGTCGGAGCACCAATCTGGAGCATGGTGCAAGGACCCGCTGCAGGCGGGCGACCGCATCTACGTGATGCCCTGGATCCCCTACCGCACGGACACGCTCACCGAGTACGCCTCGTGGGAGGACTACGTGGCCGCGCGCCACACCACCACTTACCGCCTGCCCAACCGCGTGGACGGCACGGGCTTCGTGGTCTACGACGGCGCCGTCTTCTACAACAAGGAGCGCACGCGCAACATTGTCAAGTACGACCTGCGGACGCGCATCAAGAGTGGGGAGACGGTCATCAACACCGCCAACTACCATGACACCTCGCCCTACCGCTGGGGGGGCAAGACCGACATCGACCTGGCCGTGGACGAGAACGGGCTGTGGGTCATCTACGCCACGGAGGGCAACAACGGGCGGCTCGTGGTGAGCCAGCTCAACCCCTACACGCTGCGCTTTGAGGGCACGTGGGAGACGGGCTACGACAAGCGCTCGGCGTCCAACGCCTTCATGGTGTGCGGTGTCCTCTACGTGCTGCGCTCCGTGTACGTGGACGACGACAGTGAGGCAGCCGGCAACCGCGTGGACTACGCCTTCAACACCAATGCCAACCGCGAGGAGCCCGTCAGCCTCGCCTTCCCCAACCCCTATCAGTTCGTCTCCTCCGTCGACTACAACCCTCGCGACAACCAGCTCTACGTCTGGAACAACTACTTCGTGGTGCGCTACAGCCTGGAGTTTGGGCCGCCCGACCCCAGTGCTGGTGAGGAAGGCTCGCTTGCAGGCCAAGAGCCTGCTGGCGTTTTCCTCCCTGGGTGGGGGGCCCACTCTGTGAGCCCTTGGGAATCTGGAGGTGGGTTTGGGTGTGAGCCCTGGAGGTTAAAAAAAATGTCAGTGTGTGACAAACGCTGTTATGCACTTCAGAGTTAGCTTATCTAATCCTCACAGTCTAGGAAAAAGGGATCGTTACTGCCCCCATTTTACAGATGAGAAAACTGAGGCACTGGGTGAGTAGGGGTTAACTTACTTATTTGAGGATTTGAACCCAGGACTTTGGTCTCCTAACCACTGAACTGCACTGCCTCTCTCAGGGGCTTGGGCATATATAGCTCTGGAACCGTTCAATCGACCAAACTCCTAGGTAGAAGCCAAATCGCCATAAAACAGATGTTGACTGGAGTGAGGGCCCCTCCTTAGTACTATTCTGTTCCTCAGTTGCCCTAAGCCAGCTCTGAGCAGCCCTGGGGTTCCAACCTCGTTTGCAAAAGGGGGAACTGAAGTCTCCAGAGGGAAGGAGTAGAGCCAGATTACAGAGACAGAGCCAGCCAGGAGGCTGGGAGGTGGCAGCTGTGTTTAGCAGCCCTCAGACACCGCCTTCCTGGCCTCTGGAATGCACCCTCAGACCTCAGAGTACACACAGATGGGTTCTTACCAACTTTTGATTCTTTATATGGTCCCATGGGCATAAGGGGTCTCGCCAGCACAGGGAGGCCAGGAGAGATCTGTTCCCAGACCCAGTGGGGTCTCAGACACCTTTCCACTTAGTAGGTGAGGAAGATACCAGGATGGCCAGGAACCCAGTGCCCAGGCATGGTGTGGTGGATCCCTGAGTGTGGAAGTGATCTTTATATGGTCCCATGGGCATAAGGGGTCTCGCCAGCACAGGGAGGCCAGGAGAGATCTGTTCCCAGACCCAGTGGGGCCTCAGACACCTTTCCACTTAGTAGGTGAGGAAGATGCCAGGATGGCCAGGAACCCAGTGCCCAGGCATGGTGTGGTGGATCCCTGAGTGTGGAAGTGACCCTGTGTTGTATCCCTTCTCCCTTCCAGGCCCAGCCACTTCCCAACCCCTCAGCACGACCACCACAGCCCGGCCCACACCCCTCACCAGCACTGCCTCACCTGCAGCCACCACCCCACTCCGCCGGGCGCCCCTCACCACACACCCAGTGGGTGCCATCAACCAGCTGGGACCTGACCTACCTCCAGCCACAGCTCCGGCACCTAGCACCCGGAGGCCCCCAGCCCCCAATCTGCACGTGTCCCCCGAGCTCTTCTGTGAGCCCCGAGAGGTACGGCGGGTCCAGTGGCCGGCCACCCAGCAGGGCATGCTGGTGGAGAGGCCCTGCCCCAAGGGAACTCGAGGTGAGTGCAGAGACTGCGGCCACCTCTGCTGCGGCTGGCCAGGGGAGGGACGGGGGATGTGCTCCCAGAGCAGCTTAGCGCAGATGCACTCATGGGTTGGTCTTTCTGCTGGAGCGGGGGCTTTCTGAGGACAGGGTCATGTCTGGCTTGTGTGCAGCTGTGTCCCCACTGCCCAGCAGAGTTCTCGGGGCACAGTGGCAGTTCAGTCATTCCCCCTGGCCCCTCCAGAATACTGAGCACCTGCAGATCCTGCAGAGAACCCACATGAGGTGACTTGGCTCCTGGCCCTGGCTGGGATGGAACAGCCCCAGGAACAGCCAGCTGCAGGACAGATGAGCCAAAGGGGGAAGGGACCACATGCTCTGGTGACTCCAAGGGCAGGTTGGAAGAGGCTTCATGGAGGGGGGTGGTTTCTGAGATGGGCTTTGCTGGAAGGTTCTAACTCTGATAGGCCAAGGCAGGGGATCCAAGAGGGAGAGCTTGGGGGAAGCAAGGGCTTATGTCACCTCAGAGTGACGCCTCTCTTGACTGTCTGGCCTACTTCATGTCTCTTTTTCCATGTTCCCCTCATCTCTCTCTTCACCCACTCATCCTCCACTCTTTGTCATCTTCTTTCCCCCTTCTTTGGCCCATTCTTCTCTCCTTCCTTTTGGCTCCCTTGTCTGTTCCTGTCTGTCTGTCCCTGCAGGAATTGCCTCCTTCCAGTGTCTACCAGCCCTGGGGCTCTGGAACCCCCGGGGCCCTGACCTCAGCAACTGCACCTCCCCCTGGGTCAACCAGGTGGCCCAGAAGGTACCAGCAGCAGCTGCCCCTTGCAGGCAGGCGCATTTGCTCGGGCCCAGGGCCCAGCGCCCAGTGGGGGTAGTGGAGCAACCAGGGAGACAAACAGGGGCTGGCAGGTCTGGAAGGCAGGACTGTGGGGTCCCCTCCCTGACTGACAGAGGGAGGAGGGACAGATGGGGTGGGAGAAGGGGACATAGAGGGATGGGATGGGCTGAGCAGGTGGGGATGTGAAGAGGGAATGTGGGGGTGAGTGGGATGATCCCTGACAGATCTGGGGTCTCCCCTGTCCCCCGCCTAATGCAGATCAAGAGCGGGGAGAATGCGGCCAACATTGCAAGCGAGCTGGCCCGCCATACCCGGGGCTCCATCTACGCGGGGGATGTGTCCTCCTCCGTGAAGCTGATGGAACAGCTGCTGGACATCCTGGATGCCCAGCTGCAGGCGCTGCGGCCCATCGAGCGCGAGTCAGCTGGCAAGAACTATAACAAGGTGGGGCCTGGGGGAGGGGCTGCCCCCAGGGGCTCAGGCATTACCCTACCTCCAGCCTGGATGTGAGAGTGTTGGGGTTAGAGCAGCGGTGCTTAGAGGCCCACCTGATGCCACCTCCATCTCTTTCCTCAGATGCACAAGCGAGAGAGAACCTGCAAGGATTATATCAAGGTGAGACCCACAGGAGTCTCCCCTGACCGAGTGGAATGGGGACGGAGGTCAGGAGGGATGCAGAGCCCACCTGAGGACATAGAGGATGTTGAGGGGACTCACAGCACTGTCCCCCTCCTGTGCAGGCCGTGGTAGAGACAGTGGACAACCTGCTCCGGCCAGAGGCTCTCGAGTCCTGGAAGGACATGAATGCCACAGAGCAGGTGCACACAGCCACCATGCTCCTGGATGTCCTGGAGGAGGGCGCCTTCCTGCTGGCCGACAATGTCAGGGAGCCTGCCCGCTTCCTGGCTGCCAAGGAGAATGTGGGTGAGTGTTTCAGCACCCCAGGGCAAGCTTGGGTATGAATTTTGAATTGTGGAGTCCAGCCCAGCCTGGAGACCACAGGGTGCCTGGTCTCCCTGGCTGTCAACATTGCCACAGGGCCTTTTTCAGTAGCCTGAGCCCTTAAAGGGGGAACAGACCCCAACGCATGTGCCTTGCTGTCCCGTCCCTGTAGTCCTGGAGGTCACAGTCCTGAACACGGAGGGCCAGGTGCTGCATGCGCCTTGCTGTCCCGTCCCTGTAGTCCTGGAGGTCACAGTCCTGAACACGGAGGGCCAGGTGCAGGAGCTGGTGTTCCCCCAGGAGTACCCGAGGAAGAACTCCATCCAGCTGTCCGCCAACACCATCAAGCAGAACAGCCGAAATGGTCAGTGCCCCCAGCGGGGCCTCAGGTGGGGATACAGTCCCCAGGCCCTGTACTGGTATCTCTGTTCCATTTATGGGGGGCAGCAGTTCTGAACTTTTATCAGGTTTTATCCACTGGAGCTACCATAAAATTTCAGGGGATTCATGGGTCCCCCAAAGCCCTTCACAGCCCTAGAATGAATCCTGTGGTTTGCAGAGCTGGCTCCTGTTCAGTAGCCCAGCTGGTCCTCATATCTTAGAGAGGATTGTGCCATTTGAGACTAAGGCTCAGAGAGGTGAGGGATTCACCCAAGGTCACACAGCGAGTGAGGGTGGGTTGGAGACCCAGCCCCTGTGTGTCCTGGCCCACTGCCATGCCATGGCCTGGCTTCAGAGGTCCCAGTCACCAGTTTGGCTAAGGGCTGCAGAGCTAGCAGGTCCAGGAAGCCAGGGGCCTGGATGGAGGTGTGTGGCTGAAGGCTGCCAGCACCTCCCATGTGCCTGTCCTCCCCAGGGGTTGTCAAAGTTGTCTTCATTCTCTACAACAACCTGGGCCTCTTCCTGTCCACGGAGAATGCCACGGTGAAGTTGGCGGGTGAAGCAGGCCCAGGGGGCCCAGGGGGCGCCTCCCTGGTGGTGAACTCGCAGGTCATTGCAGCGTCCATCAACAAGGAGTCCAGCCGTGTCTTCCTCATGGACCCTGTCATCTTCACCGTGGCCCATCTAGAGGTAAGCCGAGCTGTCCCCCTTCCTCCGTGGGGATCCCAGCGTCCTCTGTGCTCCCCCACTGTGTGTTCATCTCTGGAGCAATTACCGCGTCTCTCTGGGGCGCTGGCCACCATTTCAGTAGCTTGGGCCATTTGACTCCAGAGATCTCAGACTCTGTCACCTGGAGCCCCAAGCCCCAAGCACTTCTCTCATGCTTGTCACTGGCCCTATAGCTGGGTATAGGGGGCTGGAATGAGACTCCCCACTTCTGACACACTGGTCACTGCTACACAACAGGACAAGAACCACTTCAATGCTAACTGCTCCTTCTGGAACTACTCGGAGCGTTCCATGCTGGGCTACTGGTCGACCCAGGGCTGCCGTTTGGTGGAGTCCAACAAGACCCATACCACGTGTGCCTGCAGCCACCTCACCAACTTTGCAGTGCTCATGGCTCACCGTGAGATCGTAAGCTGGCCGGCGCTCTGCTCCTCCAGGCGGGCTGCTTGCTGGCCCGGCTTTGCATGGCATCCTAGAGAGTGCACAGCACGGGCGGTGCCAGGGAAGGCCAGCCTCCTGGGCATGGGGGGCCACCAGTCTTGCCTGGGGTGAGAGGCCATGCGTCTGGTTCTCCCTGGTCACGGTCCCACCTTCTCCCAAGGCACTCTGGAGAAGGAAGTTGCTGTCACCTTTGTCATCTCTCCACAAGCCTTCCAGAGCATGAGGAAGTGAGCGCGCCACCTGCAGAGGGGTGGGGGCTGGCAGATTGGCCGGGTGGGCGGCACCAGGGGTCCTCGTGGCCCATGGCCCTGCCCAGGGCCTTACCCACAGCTGGCACCTGAGCCCAGAGTGAGCCTGGCCGTATGTAAAGCCAGAGGCCCTGAGCATACCCCTGCTCCTGTCCCCAGTACCAGGGCCGCATCAATGAACTGCTGCTGTCAGTCATCACCTGGGTGGGCATCGTGATCTCCCTGGTCTGCCTGGCCATCTGCATCTCCACCTTCTGCTTCCTGCGGGGGCTGCAGACTGACCGCAACACCATCCACAAGAACCTGTGCATCAACCTCTTCCTGGCCGAGTTGCTCTTCCTGGTCGGGATAGACAAGACTCAGTATGAGGTGGGCTGGGGCTCAAGGCAGGGGGGGGACGGGGGACGCCCGCTGGGGTGATCCTCACCTGTGGCACCCCCCACAGATTGCCTGCCCCATCTTTGCTGGTTTGCTGCACTACTTCTTCCTGGCTGCCTTCTCCTGGCTGTGCCTGGAGGGTGTGCACCTCTACCTGCTGCTGGTGGAGGTGTTTGAGAGCGAGTATTCCCGCACCAAGTACTACTACCTGGGCGGCTACTGCTTTCCGGCCCTGGTGGTAGGCATCGCAGCCGCCATTGACTACCGCAGCTATGGCACCGAGAAGGCGTGAGTGTCCCCCCTCTCGCCCTACCCCCCGGGTCAGTCCCTCTGACTGGCTTCCTGCTCAGCAACACTGCTCAGGCCAGGACCCTCAGGGCACAGGCCTTCCCTCCTCCAGAACCTCAAGGCTGCAGCGTCCCTGGCCTCCTGGGGTTGGAGGGAAGAGCCCCTCGGCGTCTTTCTACTCTGGCCTCATTTCCTTCACAGCTGCTGGCTCCGAGTGGACAATTACTTCATCTGGAGCTTCATTGGGCCCGTGTCATTTGTTATCGTGGTAAGTTGGAAGGCGGCACCTCTAGGACTCCACCTCCTTCTTTCACCCAGGCTGGCCTTGACCCCGAGCCCCCACCACCACCTCTCTCCGAGTGGCGCTGGTTTGAAAACCGTGTCAGAACTGAGCAGCCAGCTCAAAGGATGGGAGCAGACTGGGTCTGTAGAGCTCCAGTGCTGAGGCCTGTCACTCAGCACTGCAAAGCAATGTTAAGCAGCCAGTCATGCCAGTGAACTAACTATAGGGCAGCAGGCACCTCAGGGGCAGGGACAAGGTTCTCTCCGCAGAGGACGCCCTCAAGAGGGGAATCAAAGCTGTGACTTTGCCAGGCTAGGCCCTGATCCCAGAACTCACTGAGGGAGGTAGAGGGACTCTCAGCCCAGTCCAGCCCCTGCCCCTGTCCCACCCCCAGGTGAATCTGGTGTTCCTCATGGTGACCCTGCACAAGATGATCCGAAGTTCATCCGTGCTCAAACCTGACTCCAGTCGCCTTGACAACATTAAGTGAGCACCCCATACCCCCTGCCCCCGTGACCCCCACACTGGGCCTGACCTCTCCCAGTGTTTCTCCTCTTCTCTCTGATATCAAATTTTGTGATTTTAAGTATCAAGATGGGTATTTCTGGTATTTGAAAGCATATCATTAGCACATCCAACCTGTGGTTTTAGGAGCATAACTGTGTGAGGCTAATTTCAAAAGGTGAGTCCAGGGCTGGCCACTTAGCTCAGTTGGTTAAAGCACAGCCTTATAACCCCAAGGTCACGGGTTCAGATCCCTGGACTGGACAATTGCAAAAAAAAAAAAAAAAATGTGGGTCCATATAATGGCAACTTAAAGAGAAACAGGCGGCAAAATGTAGTTCAAGTGGTCTGGAAATATGGCAAAAAGCCGGCGGGGAATGACTGATGTAAACAAAACCCCAACCCATTTCCTTCTCTCAGGCCCAGGTGGGTTGAAAGTGTCACCGGGCAGCCACTTCTCACAAGGCCCACTCAACCTACTCAGCACCAGGCTGGGTGTTTGCAGACAGCACCCAAACCCACCAAGGGCCCCTCCCCTGTATGGAAGCAGGCAGCAGGGCTGGGGGAGGCCAGGCGAGGCCATCTCCTCTGGAGGGGACTTTGACATCCCTGTCCCCCCAACCCCAGATCCTGGGCCCTGGGGGCCATTGCGCTGCTCTTCCTGCTGGGTCTTACCTGGGCTTTTGGCCTCCTCTTCATCAACAAGGAGTCAGTGGTCATGGCCTATCTTTTCACCACCTTCAACGCCTTCCAGGGGGTCTTCATCTTCGTCTTTCACTGCGCCTTACAGAAGAAGGTGAGGGCAGGGCAGGGGCCCAGGTCAGAGCCTCCCTCAAGACATTTCCTGGGCACGCAGGCAAGGGTGAGGGGATCCAGGCGCCCCCTTGGGCCCCCAATGTGTGCTACAGGCGCCTGCCTTCTGCAGCACGACCTTCCTCCACTGGAAGGGGAGAGCAGGCTCAGGATCAGGGAGGATTTAGCTGGGGGTGAAGAAGGCTCTGAAAAAAGCGAGCGTTGAAGAGTTGAGGGTGGTGGGAGGGCACAGAGCAGGGATGGGGTGAAGGGGATGCCCTCACCGCCATGTGGGGCACATTGGACACCACCCTGACAGACCCTTTCCTACTTTAATAGTTCTGGGACAAACTGAATTTTGTGGTGATAGGAAGGTTCCCTTTTAAATAAAGTGTGTTAAGATCTAAATCTTTAAAAAAATAAATATGGAGACAACAGTAGCAGGGGAACGTGGAGAGGGAGTGCAGGTGGCACGCTGGAGAATGCACCTGGGGAGACTGAGCTGAGGCATTTGTGGACTTGGTCCTGAGGGCAGTGAAGAGCCTTGGGCAGACTGCTGTGGGCCTGGGGGGCATGGTGAGGCAGGTGAGGCTAAGGCAGGGGTTCAGTGGAGACATTGATCACAGGAATCCTGGTTGCCAGGGAGGCTGTCCTGGGGTCCCCCCTCGGACACACAGTCAAAGCAACGTCCTTGCACAGCCCCCAGGACCATATGGTCCAACCAGGGCCCCTTTCGGCTCCCCTCCCCTCCAGCCTTGCTCACCTTTGCTCTCTTGGACACCTAGACATGGACTCTCCTCAGGGCATGGCCCCTGCTTCTGCCGAGCTTCATGTTCTTTCCTAGATGTCCGCAGGGCCTGCTGCTGTATTTCTTTCATGTCTTGCCCAAAAGGTCTCCTTGATGAGACCTCCCTTGGTCTATTTAAAATCACAAACCACTTTCTGGCCATAGTTTCCTCTGCAGCACGTAACACTTTCAGACATCCTACAAAATGTGTTTGTTTTTGTCTACATTTTGTCTCTGCCTACTAAAATACAAGCTGTGAGAGGCAGGGAGTTGTGTCTGTTGGGTCTGTGCTGTCCTTGAAGCCTAAACTGTGCTTGGCACATAGCAGATGCTCATTAAAGTCCTGTTGAGTTTGTGAATGAACGGGAAACTGTCAGTGGAAGTGGAGAAAAGAGGATGCACCTGAGTGAGAAGAGAGCAAGCCTGATCGGTTGGCTGTTGAGAGACTGGTGACAGCAAGTTTTCTGTGGACCACTGGTTGTTGAGAGGGATAACATGCTCATTGGGAGCTCCATCTCTAGACTCCCAGGGAGCCACTCCTCTGGCCAGCCCTGTGGGTGGCTGGATCACAAAGGAGGCCAGTGTCCCCTGTGAGCTGACCGTCCCCCTCCCACCCAGGTGCACAAGGAGTACAGCAAGTGCCTGCGTCACTCCTACTGCTGCATCCGCTCCCCGCCAGGGGGTACTCACGGCTCCCTCAAGACTTCAGCCATGCGAAGCAACACCCGCTACTACACAGGGACCCAGGTATGGGGGTGGGGTGGGGCATTGGGCAGGGCTTCCTGGTGCTGGGTGTTGGAACCCAGAGCCTAAGAGGTAGGGGAGTGCTCAGTCTGGGCGTCTGATGGTGCTGATGAGGTGAGCAGGCTCAGAAAGATCCTGAGAGTAGGAGGACCGAGGACTCCTTCACATCTGGGCTGTGTCCCCAGAGCCGAATCCGGAGGATGTGGAACGACACTGTGAGGAAACAGACTGAGTCCTCCTTCATGGCGGGCGACATCAACAGCACCCCCACCCTGAACCGAGGTGAGAAGGCATCCCTCTGCCCCTGCTCTGGTCCCTCAAGACTCCTGGACCCACTTCCACAGGCCTTCTTGTGACCTCTGACCCCTTGGGCAGGTACCATGGGCAACCACCTGCTGACCAACCCTGTGCTGCAGCCTCGTGGGGGCACAAGCCCCTACAACACCCTCATTGCTGAGTCGGTGGGCTTCAATCCCTCCTCGCCCCCTGTCTTCAACTCCCCAGGTGAGAACACCCTGGGTGCTGGCAGGAGTGGTCTCCCAGGCCAGGAAGCATGGGGTTTGCATCCCGAGGGGTTTCCACTGGGGCGTTCTTGGGCCCCCTGACCTGGAGCGGAGACTCAGCATTCTGAGCTGACTCTTAGCTTCTCTTTTCTCTCCTGGCTGGCACCTGCAGGGAGCTTCCGGGAACCCAGTAAGTCTCTCTTTCCTGGTAATGTTTCTGAGGCGGGAAGAGGAACAAGATAGTGGTTTTCTCCAATGGCCTTACTTAGAGAAAAGAACGCAGGGTGTCCCCTTCTCCCCCGCTACAATACACACAAAGCCTCTGGCTTGGCAGAAAATGCATGGTGTTAGTGGTTTTCTCCAATGGCCTTACTTAGAGAAAAGAACGCAGGGAGTCCCCTTCTCCCCCGCTACAATACACACAAAGCCTCTGGCTTGGCAGAAAATGCATGGTGTTCATTGACTCTGGGCCTTCAGGTAGGGAATAAAGGTGGTGAGGGTCCGAGCATAGGAAATAGATCCAGTCATCCAGGCCTCCTTACACTGCTGAGATTCCAAACCCCCAGCTGGGAGGGGATCCTGGGGGAACTGGTCCTTACTGTGCCCCCCACCTTTCACTAATCTGCTGCTGGGCTGGTATCCCCATTGCCAGTGAGGAAGAAAGGGAATGTGAGACCAGAGTGCCCCTGGGGCCAGGGGTGAGCCCGGGGAAAACCAGATGGAATCGAGCTCCCCCTTCCCTACACAGCCATGCCCCTTCGTTGCCCACCAATGCAGCCAGGCCCCCTCCTCCTCCTGACCGGCCTCCTTCTGCCCTGCAGAGCACCCCTTGGGAGGCCGGGAAGCCTGCGGCATGGACACCCTGCCCCTTAACGGCAACTTCAACAACAGTTACTCCTTGCGAAGCGGAGATTTCCCTCCAGGGGACGGGGGACCTGAGCCGCCCCGGGGCCGGAACCTGGCCGACGCCGCTGCCTTCGAGAAGATGATCATCTCAGAGCTAGTGCATAACAACCTGCGGGGGAGCAGCAGTGGGGTCAAGGGCCCTCCACCACCCGAGCCCCCTGTGCCACCTGTGCCCGGGGGTAGTGGCGAGGAAGAGGCAGGCGGGCCCGGGAGTGCTGACCGGGCGGAGATTGAACTTCTGTATAAGGCCCTGGAGGAGCCACTGCTGCTGCCCCGGGCCCAGTCGGTGCTGTACCAGAGTGATCTGGACGAGTCAGAGAGCTGCACGGCAGAGGACGGCGCCACCAGCCGGCCCCTCTCCTCCCCTCCAGGCCGGGACTCCCTCTATGCCAGCGGGGCCAACCTGCGGGACTCACCCTCCTACCCGGACAGCAGCCCTGAGGGGCCCAGCGAGGCCCTGCCCCCGCCCCCGCCCGCACCACCCGGTCCCCCTGAAATCTACTACACCTCGCGCCCGCCAGCCCTGGTGGCCCGGAACCCCCTGCAGGGCTACTACCAAGTGCGGCGGCCTAGCCACGAGGGCTACCTGGCAGCACCCGGCCTCGAGGGGTCAGGGCCCGATGGGGATGGGCAGATGCAGCTGGTCACCAGTCTCTGAGGGGACCTCACGGACCAGGGGCTGGTGGCCCAGGCCAGGGAGGGAACTCTTGGCAGGGCTCTGGTGGGAGAGGGAAACTGATGGAGGCAGTGGCTGGTGGGCCACTCTCTCCAGGTGCCCCTCAGCCATGGGGCTCTGACATGGGGGCCCAAGGTGCCAGGGTTCATAGACAGGGTTTCCCACCAGCCACATGCACCAGCTCCATTTGGGGCAAGTGCAGTGAGGAGGAGCCCAGAGGTCCCCAGGGGAGTGAGGGAGAAACCGGAAGGGTGCAGCCCACGTCTTGATGCCCCCTTCCCCTCTACTCTTCCTAATTCCTGGAGGGAAATGAGGGATTTGGTTTCCTTGGGCAGGGAAGGGCAACTTCAGAGGTTGCCAAAGGCCCCTGCTGGATTGCACCTGTCAGCTGCTCCTCTCCTCAGCCAGAAATGCTGCTGGCTGCACAGGGAGGGAGGAGCACGGCAGGAGGACAGATGGACAGGTTCCTCCTGCACTACGGTTCCCTGTTCATGGAAACGGAGGCCTCTGGCCTGGCAGAAAGCCCCAGAGTGAGGGGAATGGGCGGTGTGGCTGGTGGTTTAAAGTTCGAACTTTCTCTGAAGCTCCTTCCCTCTTGCTCTTGTTCCTGCCCCCAAGCAAGCCTGCCCCCTCAGCCCTCCAAGAGTGCACCCAATGACCCCCTCCCTTGGGGCGACTCCTGATGAAGCACAACTCCCCGCAGGGCCCCTAGCCCACAGGGGTGGCCATATTTGGGCAGTTCCCAGTCCTGTGGGCTTGGCGATCTGGGGAGCAGATTTTGGGTCTGGATCTCCCTGGGGAATGGTTCCTGGGCTTGGATCTTTCCCTAGGGGGCCCTCTTACCCCTTCTTCTCTCCTCCTCCTCCCCCATTGCTGTAAATATTTCAACAAAATGGAAAAGAAAAAAAAAAAGAAAGAAAAAAAGAAAAAATCTCATCACTTGAAGCCACCCGGGAGCCTGCGGCCCAGGCCAGCCCAGGCTTTCTCCGGTGCAGAGCGGTGCTGCTGGCCCCAGCAGCCAGGACTTCTCTGTGTATGTGTGCATCCCCAGCCAGGATGGGCGGGCCACCAGAGCAGCTTTTTACAATCCAGAGACAGAAAACAAAATCTAGAAGCAACATTGCAAAACAAAGAACCCATTTCCTTCCCGGCACCATTTCTGTCACCTCCTTTCCTGCTCCGCCTGCCCCTGGCATCAGTCAGCCCTCCTGGGGTGTGTACCTCACTACCTGCCCCAGGACCAGAGGCCTGTCCCCCCTACCCCCCATTGGCCCGGGGGAGACATCCTCACACCCAAAGATGCTTTTGCCACAATGGCTGCGCTATCCCTTGAGTTCCTGCTTCTTGTATATTGCTTCTGTGGCTCTGGGCCAGGGAAGGGGCTGGCTTCCCATCTAGAGAGGGTGATGGGGGAAGGAAAGTGGGAAGGAGCTGTAATAGAGGTGGCAGTGTTTAATGGTGGTGGGTATGGCTGAGGAGGGAGGGCTGAGAGTGGTGAGGTCTCTCTGAGGGAAAGGGGGGCAAAGGTGAGAGATCACCTTCCCTACCCTTCACCTTCCCGCGGGGAAGGCAAAGCCTGGTCCCAGGGCCTGGGGTCAGGACGCCTATGTTCTGAGGGCCTTACCCCAAACCCCCAGACCAGATCCTGGAAGTTCCAGGCTTGGATGTCCCCTAAGTACCTCTAACAGCCTCGCAGCTCCCTCCTCTCCAGCCTGCCAGCCTAACCTTCCCAGCCCCCACCCAACTCGGGGAGTAGCATAGCCCTGTTGCCACACTAGCCCAGCCCCTTCATTGCCATTACCCCAGGGGTGGCCCCTCCACCTCTGCTCTGACCTCTCCCTGTCTCTGCCCCTTCCTCTTTTCTCACAAGTGCCATGAGTTTTCAAACATCTTCGGGTCTCAGCCTGCTGCTGCCATGAATTTCTTTAGGTTACGGGGGAGGGGCTCTAGGAAAGAACTGGGGGGAAGGGGACAGACGGATAGGTGGCTGGAGGGATCCTTTTTGCTGCTAGAAAGCCCCTCCTCCTGGGGAGCTGGGGCTGGCTTATCCTCATCAATTAGGGGAGAAGGGGTCAGACCAAAGATGGTGGTTTGTCCCATGTAAGGGAACAGGTGTGGGGAGAAGGCAGGGTTGGGTTCCACCTCTGGCTTTTCCAGGTAGGAAGGCTTACCCATTTCACCAGAAGACTGTAGGTGAGGTCTAGATGGGGAGAAGGATGGGGACAGTCTTGCCAGATGACTCTGAGGAGGTCAGGAGACAGCTCCATGGCTCTTCCTTGGCTTCATTAGGCCACGGGCTCCACTGTGTGGAGGGGCCACTAGTCTGTGAAGAACTGGCCGGAGACTAGGGGAGATGGAGGAGTTGGCCCAGCCCAGGTGTCTGCCCAGCTATGGCCTGAGGCTGCTTCTAACACCAATAAGAGGACTGGAAGTCCAGGCAGGGTGGGAGAGTTCGTAGGGGGACTGAAGGTATACAAGGAGTCCCACTTCCTCTCCCTGCTCAGCCCTCCTTTTATCTCTCCAGACTCAGACAATCAAGGGGAGAGAGGGTGTGGTGGGTCCGTTGGGTCCCATTCCAGTTGGAATAACCAAGGTGGATTCTGAGGCCTCAGACCTGCATGGCAGGGCCCCCTGGTGGGGCTGGACACACCAGTGCAGTCCAGTGCAAAGCCACCCCAAGAGCCCAGGTGTACCCCACCCCAACCAGACCTGGTGCCTTGATGCCCCCACCCCAGCTGGGACAGTACAGAGAAGGGTCTTGGTTTCCTCTGCCTTCCTTGGGCTCCTGAATTCATTTGCTCCTAAATCTTGTTAATTCCTTTTCTCTGGATTTTCTTTTTCTTTTGGGTTTCCCTTGCCTTCCCTTTCTCTCTTATGTCTCCACCTCTCTTTCCCTGTGTCTTTTTCGCTATCTCTGTTCCTTTCTTCTCTCATCCTCAATTTCTCTCTGTCCATGCGGGCCTCCTCCCCCTTCTCCCATGTTCCTATTTCCTCCCTCCTTGGTCTCCTTTTCGATATGCCAAACCAATTTTGGGTCGAGTGCATTTAATGAGAACAAAAAAGGCTCATAACAAGAACGTTTCAGAAAAAAACAAAAAGTTTAAAAAAAATTGTTGAGTCAAAAAGTCAAACAATAAAGAAATTAAGATTTCTTGGAATGACAGAAGTGGCGTGACTCATTGGGGGGGGGGGGGGCAAGAAATGGGGGAGTAGATCTGGGCAGGGCCTTCCCATGA